TGAGGAACATAGCCCCTGCCCAAGAAGGACCATAAATCCCCCTTTATCAATTGGCTGGAGAGGAGGCTTTGGTTCCCCTGTAATAGGAGCTGGGATCCTTATATCATAAGGATTTAAAAATATCATAGCCAAAAGGTAGAAATTTTATAAGACTAAAAACATGATGTTTAAGCAAGAGTAATACAATACCACCAATGTCTCCAGAAAGGGCCAAAGTCAGAAAATCCATCTCCATGCTTGTCCCAGTTTGTGTACTACATGCTTGTGCAGCTTGCTCTTTGGGGTATCAGCCCCCAAAAGAGGAAGTGGTGGACATGGAGAGCAGTGAAACTTTCACACATTCATGGTGGGATTGTAAAATGTCTTGGTTATTGAAACCAAACTAAAACAACAAAATACAACACAAAAGTTGCGTGGGGACTATCAGATGGCCTAGCTGATTAAGGCACTTGCCACCGAGCTGAGTTAAATTCCCTTAGAGCTCCATGGTGGATGGTGAGAAATGGCTCCCCTATGTTGTTCTCTCATCTCTACGTGCCTCTGTACCACGCATATACATGCTAAATAGATACTCAAAATGTAAGAAAATTTATAATAGATGAAAACTTAAAGATCCACTTTAGGCTAGCATTGTGGCCGATGTGGAAGGTCCTTCTGTTTATTGTGTTACTTTTATTGGCTGATGAATAAAGGGTTTTAGGACATTGGACAGGCAGATTAAAGCTAGGCAGGAATTCCAAAGAGACAGAAAGAAGACAGAGTCAGGGAGATAGCATGTAGCTGCCAGGGAAGCAAGCTATGAGGTAAAGTATAAACTAATAGAAATGGGTAATTGATAGAGCTAGCCAGGAGGAAGCCTAAGCCCTTGGTCAAACAATTGTAACTGATAGTAAGCCTCTGAGTGGTTACTTGGAAACAGGTGTGCAGAGAGAAACTGGTCCAGTGGGAGACAGGTGAGAGAGAGAAAAGTCTCCATTCTATACATACAAATACTAAATAAGTATTTAAACATTTAAGAAAATTTTTAACAGACAAAAACTTGAAGATCTATGTTAGGCTATCACTGTGGCCACACAATCCCAGAACTCAGAAGGTCAAGGCAGGAGGACTGCTATATATGTAAGACTAGCGTGGGTTACAGAACGAAATTGTTTCAGAAAATAAAAAAAACAAAGTCAAACTACTAAATTGATGGAGGAAGGTCATTGGCTAATAAAGGCACTGCCCTGGCCCATTTTATTGGTTAGAGGATAGGTGGGAGGAGTAGGCAGAACAGGACGCTGGGAGGAAGAGGAAGTGAGCTCAGACTCCACAGCTTTGCTCTCCGGAGCAGACGCCTCAGCAGAGACGCCATGCCCTGCTCCCGGGATGAAGCTCCGACCCAGGATGGACTAGGCTAGAATCTCCCTGGTAAGCGCACCTTGGGGTGCTACACACAGATGATTAGAAATGGGCTAAATTAATATGTGAGAATTAGCCTAGAAGAGAATGGGCCAAGCAGTGATTAAAAGAATACAGTGTCCTTGTAATTATTTCAGGGCATAAGCTAGCCATGCAGGCGGCCGGGGTGCTGGGAATGCAGCCCCGCCGCCCTTATTACTACAGATTGGCGCCCAACGTGGGGCTCGAACCCACGACTCTGAGATTAAGAGTCTCATGCTCTATCTAGAACAAAATGAAAGCATTGTGCCTGGTTTCTTGGTAGCAGCAATTTCTCGGTTCTACTCTGCTTGCTAGAGGCAAGCAAGCACCTCACCTAAGAGAGGCTTCCTGACTCAGCTTTAGCTGCAAAGCCTGCAGCTCATTAAGAGGTCCTGCCATGAAACACTTAAATGGTGTTGACGAAAAGCTGAACACATGCTTTTCGATTTTCAGCCATAGCAGGAAAAAAGCTGCGCCGTTTAAAAATGCTGGCTTTCGGGGCTGTCCTGCCAGGGCAAACTCTGACTCTACGCAGGCGGTTTGTGCGGTTTGCAAGTACAGACTGCTGAAGCTCGCTTGCTGGCTACAGCCAGTACCTCAGCCATGAGGCTGGAAAGCTAAGAAATGGACTGGATCTAGCTGGCAAAGCCACGCCTTTAGTCCTACTGAGATTGCTTGGTAAATTAAAGACTCATGTGGTCAGAAAAAGAGAGATATACAGTAAAGAGAGATTCAAAGACAAAGAAAATTTTTAAATGGTTTACAGTGTGTTAAAAATATATGCAGACTAAAAGTTAAAGTTCTTAAAGTAAAAAACAAAAAAAAAAGGAAGAGAGTTGTTGTGTGTGGTAGTACACGCCTTTAATCCCAGTGCCTAGAAGGCAGAGACAAACAGATCTCTGTGAGTTCAAGGTGTAGTAGTGTACACCTTTAATCCCGAATGCCTGGGAGGCAGAGACAGGCGGATCTCTGAGAGTTCAAAGACAGCCTGGTCTACAGAGTTACTTCAGGTCAAAGATACAGAGAACCTATCTCAAAAAGCAAAAAGTTAAAAGTAAAAATAAACAAAATAGAGGTTAAAATAAAACGAACAAAGATGGAAAATACACAGAGAATCTTGATACTGTATGCTATTATGCTCTCTTTGAATTGTTTGAATGCTGAGGAAGAAGCAACAGCTGCTAAAAGATATTTATTAATAAATACTGCTGAACTAATCCAACATAGATATTTTGAATTGGGATCTAAGGATATGATACTTTGGAAAGGAGTTTCTTATTTTGTTTTCACAGAGGATGAGATGCTGTTCATTTCTTCTATTCCAATTTGGTATGATGGACCACGTCCTCCTGAATGGTTCCTGTGCACGCCTTCAAAAAATTGCTTCGCTCAACTGCCAACTGAGATGAAACTAGCACACAGGTTATACCGTGAAAGACCTAATTAACGACGCCCCCATTCAGCAGGAAGCAGTTTGGAGAGAAATAACTGCGCCCATATTCCCAAAAAAATGTTTATAAATGTTCTTTTACATTTAAAGGGGGATATGATATAGGTATGAATAATTTGCATTAGTATAGATTTTGCTTTATTGATAGAGATTTACGGTCAATTTTGTTATATGTATATGTATTTCTGATATTGATTAAGGTATTGTGATTGTGTAGTTCATTAAAAAATGTAATGTATAATTAGGAAATATAAGTTGTTAATAGATAATCATAAATAATAGTCAAGTTTGTAGTCATGTTAGTTAGATTTTCTAGATATATAGAGATGTATTTCAGTTAGATAGACATTCTTCATGTCTTTCAAAGATTACAGAATAGGACATTTAATGTTTTAATAACTGAGGACTTTTCATGACAATGAGACACTCTGCTCCTGGCAGCACCAATCTACTTCAAGAGGAAGATGGGCATCGAAGAGGCTCATTATGGAGTTTTGATAGCCATTTGGGCAAGAAACTGCTCTTGCCTGGACTATAGCATAAACTGGACACAGAGAACCCGCAGAGAGAGGACTACTGAACTTGCCTAAGGTGAGATGATCTTTCGGGGTTCCTGATTCATTTTGAAAGAGTCTGCGAGACATTCTGCAGGACACAACAGATAGTGACTGAACTGACTTTGAATTTTCCTGCTTTATGGAAATGTCTGCTGGATACCATGGGCCTGAAGGCTGAAGATGGATGCCCCAACGGTACAAAAGAACTTTGGGTGACTGTCCAGGCAGCAAGATGTCTTTGTCATTTCTAGAGTTTGAAGTTTCTTAGTTCTTGTTTACTTAGGTAATATTATATCTTTCTGGAGTCTTTGATGGAGTTAAGAATAGTTAGTTATAGTTATAGTTTTCCTTAGTTATGATAAAGATTATTGTAACTTTTACTTGATAACTGTTTTGTTATATGTAATTTTGCTATGTTAAAGTTAAAGCCTTTTTTTTTTTGTTTAAACCGAAAAAGGGGAAATGATGGAGGAAGGTCATTGGCTAATAAAGGCACTGCCCTGGCCCATTTTATTGGTTAGAGGATAGGTGGGAGGAGTAGGCAGAACAGGACGCTGGGAGGAAGAGGAAGTGAGCTCAGACTCCACAGCTCTGCTCTCCGGAGCAGACGCCTCAGCAGAGACGCCATGCCCCGCTCCCGGGATGAAGCTCCGACCCAGGATGGACTAGGCTAGAATCTCCCTGGTAAGCGCACCTTGGGGTGCTACACACAGATGATTAGAAATGGGCTAAATTAATATGTGAGAATTAGCCTAGAAGAGAATGGGCCAAGCAGTGATTAAAAGAATACAGTGTCCTTGTAATTATTTCAGGGCATAAGCTAGCCATGCAGGCGGCCGGGGTGCTGGGAATGCAGCCCCGCCGCCCTTATTACTACACTAAATGAAGTGTATGACCAAGATTCCAGATTTATGGGGCTGGAGAGATGGCTCAGCAGTGAAGAGCACTGGCTGCTCTTCCAGAGGACCCAGGTTCAATTCCCAACACCAACATGGCAGCTCACAGCTGTCTCTAACTCCAGTTCCAGAGTACCTGACATCCTCATGCAGAAAAACATCAATACACATAAATTAAAAAATAATAAAAGTATAGTGAATATTGAAAATAAATTCTAGATTTATATAAAAGATCCTACTCCTGAATCACATGACCCATTGTTGCTCACCTCTGAAGTATCTCCCAAAGCTCATAGTTTGAATGCTTATTCCTACCTGGTGGTTCTATTTGGGGAGGCTATGGAACCTTTAGGAGATGAGGCCTAGTGGAGGGAAGAGGTCGTTCAGGACAGGACTTTGAATGTTAGCCAGGTTCCTGTCCAGGCTTGGACTCCTCTGCTATGTGCTCCTCCTACCATGAACTGAGCTGCTCTGCTCTGCTCTGCTCTCCTTTCTATGAAGGAGAGAAATCCTGAGACCATGAGCCAATCTGTTCTGCCTCAACTTCCTTCCCCTTGTCAGGCACTGTGGTCCTAGCAATGCAAGTGTAACTAATACATTGCCCTGTTTAATAAATTACATAAATGTTCTCTACTGATAAAAGTAATATTCACCACTATGTTACATGCATGGTCAGAGTTTTATTCTTTGAGAATGGTCTTAAAACATAAGTAAGGGTGAAAAGTAAAGTTTAAAATAGACAGTTTTATAAGGATAAGTAATAACACAGGTAATGATTAGTCACTCTGAGGAATTTTGATCTTAGAGCTTATGATGCACCCCACTGGCAATAGCACCCAGGTTTGCCAAAAAGCCAGTCATCATTTTTCTCTTGTCTGCATGGACTTCTTCTCATTGGCTATCTTCTGCTTTTGTTGCATGATCTCAGAGTCCCTGGAAGAGAGAAAAGAGTATTACGTTTTCACAGGAAAACCCTTTTCATGCTACCATTGCTTCTCTACATAGCCTTTTTGGTACATTAAAAGACAATGTAAAAGAAGACAAAACCAGTCATGTTTTTCTACTTTCATGCATATAGACAAATAGAAAAGCAAAGAACGGAAAGGCAGTTGAACACCATGTCACTATTATCATAGCCTTAGGCATTAAATATCTCAAAACACTTTCATTTCAATGGGGAGAGAAGAGAGTGAGGAGACAGAGTCTCACTGTGTAGCCATGGCTGTCCTTGAATTCACGGTGGAGACCAGACTAGCCTCAAACTCATGGAAATCTACCTGCCACTGCCTCAGTGCATTTAGGTAGTCTCCTATATACCCTAACAGACGCCTAGGACTCCAGTAAAAATATTATAATTCTTTTCTGTCTTTTTGTTTGTTTTTGTTTTGTTTGTTTTGAGAAAGGGTCTCATATAGCCCAGGGATGGCCTTCAAACTGATACACAGCCAAAAAAGACTTTCAACTCTTGGTCCTCTTACCTTCACTTCTCAAGTGTTGGAATTACAACAATCCAACTTTTTAAAGCCCCAAAGCAAATGATCAACACTTAACATTGGATTATGACAAAGAAATACATGGTATTAGAAAAACTTTCATAGGCCGGGCGGTGGTGGCGCACGCCTTTAATCCCAGCACTCGGGAGGCAGAGGCAGGCGGATCTCTGTGAGTTCGAGACCAGCCTGATCTACAAGAGCTAGTTCCAGGACAGGCTCCAAAACCACAGAGAAACCCTGTCTCGAAAAACCAAAAAGAAAAAAAAAAAGAAAAACTTTCATAACCTTTGTTATCTCCCTGGTTGAATCTTCACGTCATGTAACTATGAACTACAGCCAAACTACCTTAGCTAAAGGATCTATTTGCCTCAAATCACATAAATACCAATGTCTGGCTAATTTCAAAATCATGGATCTTTTCTATGTTGTTAACACTTAAATTCAGAATTAGGTTTTAATTCAGTATTGGCTAATTCTCTAAGAGGACACTTTTATAAGTACAATTGAAAAAAAGGAAAAGCTACAGAGAGATTAATTAATTGGAATTCACTAAGTGGAATTAAGAACAAGTAAAGTTATTTTTATGCTTCAAATCAAGCTTTGGTATTTGCTATATGACTTTAGTAATATCACTCAAATTCAGAGCCACAAGTCAGATGTGGTGGCTAATGGCTGGCACCAAGAATTTGCAAAGCTGAGGCAGAAGAATCCCAAGTTCAAGTGTGAACTATAATGAGACTTTGGGCCTCAAACAACACCAAACGATAACCTCATTCTTCTATTCTTCACCCTGGTGTGAACACCACTTTCAGGGTCATAATGGGTAGAGTGTATGTCACATGTAGTACATTTGAAGGGATTGAGTATTAGCTAAACAATGCTTTTTCTGGGACAGGCTAGAATAGATTCTCCAATAAAAAGGACATTTCAGATCCCTGATGTATACTCGTTTCACTCCAAGGAGAGCTAACAGAAACCTAAGGCAGGTTTATTGCTCTCTCAGTCGCTGTCACTGGGGCTGTGGGGATGTCTCTACAGTTCCTGCTGCACAAGCAGGAGGATCCACAAAATCCATGTACAAAGCAGGGCCTGGCGGTGTGTGTCTAAAACCTCAGGCTGGAGGGGCAGGGCTTAGACAGGCACGTCTCTCAAATTCATTTGGCCTGCCAGCCTAGTCAAACTGGTGAGCTTCATATTTAGTGAGAGACCCTGTCGAAAATAGTGGAGAGTGACGGAGGAAACATACTTGATATCAACTCTGGCCTCCACATTCACACACATGTTTACACCCTTATAAGCACCTGAAGCATGTACACACATAAACAATCATGAAACAAGAGATAATTAAGGTGTGGGGGTCTCTGTGACCACTAAGGCCAGCAGAGAGTAATGATCACATGATATAAGAAGGCTGTTCAACACTGAACCTGATAGAAGAGAAAGTGGGAAGTACCCTACAACAGATGGGCACAGGAGATCGCTTCCTATGTATAACCCCAGCAGCACAGACATTAAAGGCAACATTGAATAAATGGGACCTACTAAAACTGAGAAGCTTCTGTAAAGCAAAGGACACTGTCACTAAGACAAAAAGGCAACCTACTGACTGGGAGAAGATCTTCACCAACCCCGCAACAGACAAAGGTCTGATCTCCAAAATATATAGAGAACTCAAGAAACTAGACTTTAAAATGCTAATTAACCCAATTAAAAAATGGGGCACTGAACTGAACAGAGAATTCTCAACAGAAGAAGTTCAAATGGCCAAAAGACACTTAAGGTCATGCTCAACTTCCTTAGCGATCAGGGAAATGCAAATCAAGACAACTTTAAGATACCATCTTACACCTGTCAGAATGGCTAAAATAAAAAACACCAATGATAGCCTTTGCTGGAAAGGTTGTGGAGAAAGGGGTACACTCATCCATTGCTGGTGGGAATGCAAACTTGTGCAACCACTTTGGAAAGCAGTGTGGCGGTTTCTCAGGAAATTGGAGATCAACCTACCCCTGGACCCAGCAATACCACTCTTGGGAATATACCCAAGAGATGCCCTATCATATGACAAAAGCATTTGTTCAACTATGTTCATAGCAGTATTATTTGTAACAGCCAGAACCTGGAAACAACCGAGATGTCCTTTAATGGAAGAATGGATGAAGAAAGTGTGGAATATATACACATTAGAGTACTACGCTGCGGTAAAAAACAATGACTTCTCGAATTTTGCATGCAAATGGATGGAAATAGAAAACACTATCCTGAGTGAGGTAAGCCAGACCCAAAAAGATGAACATGGGATGTACTCACTCATAATTGGATTCTAGCCATAAATAAAGGTCACGGAGTCTATAATTGGTGATCCTAAAAAAGCTAAATAAGAAGGTGAACCCAAAGAAAAACATATAGTTATCCTCATGGCTATGGGAAGTAGACAAAATTGCCGGGGAAAAATTGGGATCTTGGGGGTGGGGTGGGGTGGGATGGGGGTAAAGGGAGATGGGGAGAGAAAAATGAGAAGGGGAGGATGGGGGGAACTTGGGGAAACAGGATGATTGGGATAAAGGAAGGCTGGATAGGGGAGCAGGGAAGCACAAATCTTAGTTAAGGGAGCCACCTTAGGGTTGGCAAGAGACTTGAACCTAGAGTGGCTCCCAGGAGCCCAAGGCGATGTCTCCAATTAGTTCCTTGGGCAGCTGAGGATAGGGAACCTGAAATGACCCTATCCTATAGCCATACTGATGAATATCTTGCATATCACCATAGAACCTTCATCTGGTGATGGATGGAGATAGAGACAGAGACCCACACTGGAGCACCGGACTGAGCTCCCAAGGTCCCAATGAAGAGCAAAAGGAGGGAGAACATAAGCAAGGAAGTCAGGACCATGAGGGGTGCACCCACTGAGACAGTGGGGCTGATCTATTGGGAGCTCACCAAGGCCAGCTGGACTGTGACTGAAAAAGCATGGGATAAAACCGGACTCTCTGAACATGGTGAACAATGAGGGCTGATGAGAAGCCAAGGACAATGGCACGGGGTTTTGAATCTACTTCATGTTCTGGCTTTGTTGGAGCCTAGCCAGTTTGGATGTTCACCTTCCTGGATATGGACAGAGGGGGGAGGACCTTGGACTTTCCACAGGGCAGGGAACACTGACTGCTCTTTAGACTAGAGAGGGAGGGGGAGAAGAGTGGGGGGAGCGAGGAAAGGTGGGAGGAGGGGGAGGGAAATGGAAGGCTGGGAGGAGGCGGAAACTTTTTTTTTCTTTTTCTCAATAAAAAATTAAAAAAATAATAATAATTATAAAAAAATAAAAAAAGAAGGCTGTTCCGCTCAAGAGGACTCAGCAGCTGGTGTTGGTTCAAACTTTGAGAGTCTAAAACTGGGTACTTTGTTTTAGGCATATTTAAGCACAACAAAATTTGGGAAAAGTTTCCTGGTGATAATTAGTTCAATCTTGCGTGCACAACAAAGCTTAAGACATGACTACATCAAAACTCCTAGTGATCTACAAGTGACATTTTCTATAGGGTAGGTTCTATAGATTAACCAAGGAAACAGGCTCATGAGAAGATCACAATAAAGATCTAGGGAAGGAGAGAGCTACAGATTGACCAAGATAAACATGCTCAAGATAAGGGTCTGCAGGAGCCACTGTGTCCTGGCCACACAGACAGCACAAAGGTTCCTGCTATGTTCTGTTCCCAGCCTTCTGGGTTGGAGCACAGGTTATACATCTCTCCTTTGAAGAGACATCTCTGTGTATTTAACATTCCTGGTTTCCCAGTGCTTCTCTGTGAGCACAAGGACCTACGTGCCTCTTCCAATAAGGGATTTGATCTCATTGACTAAGAAGTCTCAACCATGGTTTAACTAAGATAGGTATAATAAAACTTGTTTGGTGTGCTTTGCGGGAAAGAAGAGGCAGAGGAGGATCAAATTTGGAGCCTCATATATGTTAGACAAAGGCTCTACCAGATGATGAGTTTCATCTTCAGCCCTAGCATGCTCCCATCCCATAACCACAGAGGGTCTCACCATATGGGCTGGCCTTAAACTTGATGCAAACTGAGGATGATCTGAGCTTCTGATTTTTCTGCTTCCACCTCCTAAGTGTTGGGATTACAAGCGTGTGTCACTCCTGGTTTTTTGCAGAGCTAGAATTGAACCCGAGGCATTGTGTTTTTATTTCTAACGCCCAGTCTCATCTCATCACAATTAAATTAGAACAGGATGCGGAGAAATGGCTTTAGCGGTTTGCAAGATGACCCCTATGTAAAGGACTGCGTAATCAGCCACACTGAAGCACACCTAACCTCCAAGTTCCTTAAGATCAATGAAATCTCACTTTAGAATATGCAGTGTATGTAGCTCAGTGACAGAGTTAAGTGAAAAAGATCATCAATGAAATCCCCAGCACAGGGGAGTAAACCCAGGACTTCAGGCATGTGAGGCACGTGACACTGAGATCTTTCTCCAGCTAAGATCCTTGTCCTCATGGAGCTCGCCAGGAGGATGAGATTCACGTGCTCCGGTTCCCTGTTTCTCTTATTCTATATGATGATAGAACTTATAACTTGAATTTCTCGTTATGTATGTGTGGTTTGGGGATTGAACCTGCAGCTCAAGTATCCAAAGCATGTGATGTAACACTGAACCATGCTCCCAGTTCGTCCACTCCCCTTTGAACATGGTAATCTGCAACCTCATTAAAGATTTTTCTTGGGCCAACAAGACACACACAATAAAAGTAAAAGAAAATTGTAAAGCATTTATCATCTCTTGGGACTACCTTGTCACATAGTCTAGGACAGGCTCAAGTTCCTAATTCTCTTGCATCCGCTTCCTGAGTTCTAGGATTACAACTGAGTGACACTATGCCCTGGGCATTAAAGTGCTTATGGGGCAGCTATGTGTTACCTGTCATACCCAGTCATCTCAAGTGCTAGGGATGGAACAGCTGTACAGATGTTAGGCAAGTGTTCCCTACTGCTGAGCTATACCCTGAGCTATACCCTCAGTGCTTACCTCCCACTTTTTTTTTTTTTTGAGACATGGTCTGTAGGTCTCTGTAGCCTATGCTGGCCTCTGAGTAGCATAATGTCTTCTTTTTGTTTTCTTTTGGTTTTTCAAAACAGGGTTTCTCTGTGTGACCCTGGCTGTCCTGGAACTGTCTTTGTAAACCAGGCTGGCTTCAAACTCACAGAGATTCGCGTGCCTCTGCCTCTGCCTCCCCAGTGCTGGGATTAAAGGCCACCGCCACCAGCACCTTGGTGCACAAAGACCTTATATCAATCCTGTGTCTGTATCTTCACTCCAAACCCAATGGACCTCCAGAAGCCGGCACTCTGTGGTATTTTCAGAAAGCCGATCTCTGTAACTGAGCCACTTGTTATTCTGATTCCTTGGGGCAAGCTGTCTGCTTTGGAGACATTGTATCCTGTTCATCTAACACACTTACATAGGGAGGGGGTTTGCTGTTTTCTCTAATAAAGTCCTTACAGTTTATAGGAGCTACTAGAGAGTCTCTGCAAACAGTTGACAGCTTCAGGGCTTGAAATTCCTCATCCACAGGCTGGGACGATGACGCCAGTGCATGGTTTTAGTAGACTTAGGGCTACCCAGATCCGCAGTGTTAACCCTTAGTGTAGGCAAGGCTCAGTTCCAGCAAGGGTTTAAGAATGTTCTTCACTCATTCTAGAAACACGGCAGTCAAACCACCACTGACATGAAAGTTCTCTCAGGACCACTCACCGCTGCTTTCTCTGGGAGGCAGTCAAGCAATCCTCTTTCCTTTTTCCTTTGCTAATCTCCTGGGTTTTTTTCATGTTTTTCTGGCGGGCAAGTTCTCTTTGATTTCCACCTACAACGATAAAAAGCCATGTTCTTTTCCCATCCTCAAAATTATCAGTAACTAAATTAAAGGGTCTTTATTAATGAGCCTTAAAGTTTTATTTATTGTTATTACTAAGAAAGCAGAGTATCGCATAGTTATTCTGAGATTGACAAGGAGGAAGCTGAAGTGGAAACACTCAAGAACTACTGTGTATTATGGTACCAATATAGGTGTCCACTAGCAGCTTTTAATCCCGGCACGTGGGAGGCAGAGGCAAGTGAATCTCTGAGTTCAAGGCCAGCCTGGTCCACAGAGTGAGTTTCAGGATGGCCAGGGCTACAGAGAGAAACCTTGCCTCGAAAAACCCAAATAAAATAAAAATAATAAAAACTTTTAAAAATAAAAATAGCCATTTCAGTGGTTATGTATCCACGCCAGACACAAAGGAAGTTCTGCCTTTGTTGGGTATGTGTGAAGAGAGATGGTCAGATGTCCCGTGTCGTTCGCCCCAGATCGGTTCAGCCCATTGCAGTTCGCCTGTCACCGCCAGCAGAGGCTGAGCTCAAGGACCGCCACCTTCGAGGACCAAACAAAAGAGCTGGAGGGCACCCGGGCTCCCCCCAGCCTTTCCGACCTCAGGAGCCTTTACAGGTCCTGCTCCCGCCGGCGCTCGCAGACGCTCTCGGTGGGTGCGGTCCCCACGCACACCCACACCTGGGGGCGGGCACTTGTCATGCCTGCGCGCGAGCGCGTGTGTGTAAGTGTGCGTGTATGAGTGTGTGTGAGTGTGTATTAGTGTGCGTGTGTGTCCCGCCCTCTCCCCCTGCTGGGCGCCGACCCCCCCCCCCCCCCCGCAACCCCCGTGTCCCTGAAACGGTCCGCACACTCACGGGCCATGCCGACCACCGGCCGGAGCCTGGAAGACAGCGACTCGGAGAAACAGCGGCCGCTGGCACGCTTGGCAGCCGTCCGCGCCCGGCGCTGAGGAAGCTGAGCCCCGCGCGAGCCCACGGTGCGGCCTCGCTCGATCAGCCAGCCGCCCCGCCCACCGACCCACAACAGCCGCGGCGTGGACGGAGAGCCACTGCGCGTGCGCGCCCGGGACCGCTCGCTCCCCCGCGACCGCGCCCCGCCGGCCCCCACGCGCGGGGGTGGGGTGGGGTGGGGGTGGGGAGACAGAGGCAGGAGAGCGAGCCCCGGGTGAGAGCGGCGTCCCGGTGCCTGCTTGCTTCCTCACGCCGGGCCACGCGAGTTTTAATAAGCCGAAAGCACTATGCGCTCAACTTTCTCACAAAGAACTTCAGCTTTTCTTTGTCCTCCCCTTTTCTTCCCCCCTCCCCAGGCGAAAAGATGCTGAACCCTCATTTTCTAGCGACCAACCTGAAGGGAGGCTTTATCATCCTCACCGGGCAGAAACGACCTGATAAGGACGACAGAAGAGGTGGCTCTCATGCGGGCTCCAAAGCCTGTGTAGAATCGCTTTTATCCCGGTGCCCTCGTCCCGATGGGCAGAACTTTAGGAGTTTTAATCTCAGGCTTTCTGGTTGGGTGGGATCCAAAATACCCGGGAACAACTTTATAAGCTACGTAAGAGCTGTGGAGAGTGACTGAAAACCCGCAGGGTTGGGGTGTGGCTTGCCTGAGTGACAGTCTGCATTCCATCCCCAAGGTTCCATTCCTCGAGTGAAACTTATTTTCTTACCTGTCCATTTTTACAAACTGAGCCGGTCTGGACGCCTGACGTTTGCCTGGGCATTTAAAGGGGTTGTACTGTGGAATGAATATTTTAAATGTATGCAAAAGTATAGATGATGCTATGGTCTCCGCAACACACAAATCACTTAACTTTTACAATTATTAGCGCATAGTCAACCAGTTTAGAGAATAATGGAACAAAGTGCCAAGAGATGGAATGAGTGAATTGAAAGCACAGCCATAGTGGAACAGGAGGAGGAGGAAAGAAAGAAGGAAGGAAGGGAGGGAGGGAGGGAGGGAGGGAGGAAGGAAAAGGAAAAAGTCGCCTAATTTTGCCAATTAGTCTTGTCAGCTAGGATCCATTATTTCATTGTATATGTTTTCCTTTCTTCGCTATTGGATTAATATGAATCTGGTAATGTGACAACGATTGAATTCTCCTCAAATCAGCTTTTACCCAGTTAAAAGTGACCCCAGCTCTGTGTGTGTGTGTGTGGGGGGGGGGGGGTGTCAGGTGAGTCTCTGGGCCTCGGTGGTCAGCCATCCTAGCTTAGTAGGTGAGTACCAGGCCAGTGAGAGATCCTGCCTAAGAAAATGTGACCAGCTCCTGAAGATGGCACCTAAAGTTGTCCTTTGACCTCCATGTGCACTGTGCACACATGAAGACACACATGCATATACATGTGCAAAGAGAGAAATACTTGGTCAAGTGCAGTATGCAGTCACTGTGGTGCTTTGAAAGAAAATGCCCCTCTAGGGAATGGCACTATTATGAGGTGTGACCTTGTTGGAGTAAGTGTAGTCTTGTTGGAGGAAGCCTGTCACCGTGAGGTTGGGCTTTGAGGTCTCCTGTGCTCAAGCTATGCCCAGCGTTGCAGTCCACTTCCTGTTGCCTTTGGATAAAGATGCAGAATTCTCAGCCCCTTCTCCAGCACCATGTCTGCCTGCACACTGCCATTCCCCACCATGATGATGATATACTAAACCTCTGAACTGTAAGGCACTCAATAGAATATTTTCCTTTCTAAGAGTTGCTGTGGTCATGGTGTCCCTTCACAACAATAGACACCCTAACTAAGACAGTATTGCTCTGTATGTTACCTTCTATGTATTGTTCTTTCACCCCAGAGAGCCTTGCACACTTCTTGCCCTTCTCACATCATACACTGTCCTGTTCAGAACTGCTCAGATCACGTGTGTGCTTCTACCTAGTGAACCCTTCCTAAGTGCCCAAGGAGGAGAAAAGGCTCTCTGGCCCAGCTGTATATAGCGACAAGAGATGATCTGGGGATCAGGAATAGAGTTCAGTGGCAGACACTTATTTAGAGTATGCAAAGCCCTGGATTTGAATCCCCACACACAATATTGATAGTAAGAGGGCAGGAGGAAGAGGAAGCCAGAGTGGTGGCATGTGACTGTACTCCTCATGCTAGGACGACTGAGGCAATGCTACACGTTTGAGGCTGACTTGAGCTGCACAGTGAGACGTGTCTACCTCTTGCTTAAAAAAACAGGAAGCTGCTGCACGGTGGTGGTGCATGCCTTTAATCCCAACACTTGTGAGGCAGAGACAGGTGGATCTCTGGGAATTCGATGCCAGTCTGGTCTACAAAGCAAGTTCCAGGACAGTCAATGTTGTTACACAGAGAAACCCTGTCTTGAAAAACCACATACGCACAAAAGATATATAGTTGGTTTGGGGTTTTAAGTGTATTTTCTCTTGTTTACACATAAGAATCTCATACATCTACCTCCTGAGCTTCATGTATGGATTCTTTGAATGAATATGTGCCTGAAGTTATATTTTTTGAGTTGTGAGGTTACAAGAATATTCCCTATACACGCAGAATACATTGAGTTTCTTCCAGAGGGCTGGGAGCATGTCTTTAGTTTCAGCACTGCAGAAGCAGAGACAGGCAGGTCTCAGTCTTGATAAATTTGAGTTCGAGGGCAGCCTGCTCTACATTCCAAGCATAGTTCTAGGACAGTCAAAGCTACATAGTGAGACTCCAGCTCTGTTTCAGAGAGAAATATGGAGAGAACATTAGAGAAAACTAGAATATTATTTATTTTGTGCACACACACACACACACACACACACACACACAGAGAGAGAGAGAGAGAGAGAGAGAGAGAGAGAGAGAAAGAGAGAGAGAGCGCCCTCAGAAGCCAAAAGAGGATAAGAGGATGTTGGCTCCTTTGGAGCTGGACTTACATTTGTGAACTACCTGACATGGATGCTGGGATGCAATCTGTGGTCCTCATGATGGAGCAGCAAGTGCTTAACTGCGGAACCATCTCTCCTGTTTCCGAAGTGTGTGTGTGTGTGGGGGGGGGGGGGGTTCATGTAGCCCAGGCTGTCTCGGAACTTTTTTTTTTTTTTGGTTTTTCAAGACAGGGTTTCTCTGTGGTTTTGGAGCCTGTCCTGGAAATAACTCTGTAGACCAGGCTGGTCTCGAACTCACAGAGATCCACCTGCCTCTGCCTCCCGAGTGCTGGGATTAAAGGCGTGCACCACCATCGCCTGGCAGTCTCGGAATTGTACAGTGAGGACGACCTTGAATTTACGATCCTCCTACCTCTGTTTCTCAAGTATTGGGGTCAAGGCACTTTCAACCACACCCAAATAGGATGTTCTTACAATATTTTCCTTTAAAAAAGATAGAGATTTATGCTTTTCTGTGTCATGGGTTTGTGTCTCAGATTCAATGAGTATTGTCATTCTTCAGTTCTACAGAGTAAATCTTAGGGCTGCCTATTTTTTCCTTCCATCATAAAGGCCTTACTGCCAGTGCACCAGGACTCTTATTGTATAACCCTTGAAGTCTCTTTCATTACATTTAACTTTTTAAAAAAGATTATTTATTAGATATACAGTATTCTACCAGCTTGTATGCCTGCAGGCTAGAAGAGGGCACCAGATCTCATTATGATTATGAGTCACCACGTGGTTGCTGGGAATTGAATTCAGGACCTCTAGAAAAGCAGGCAGTGCTTTTAACCTCTGAGCCAGCTCTCCAGCCCACATTTAATATTCCTAATTATCTTGTTCATTTGTTTTGTATTTTCACCTCTGTAGTATAGAATGTCTTACTTATTGTTCTGTTACTATCTCTGGAAGCAGATTAAGATTACTGACATGAATGTGTAAAGTCAGAGGATAATAATATTTGATAGGCACTATGCTCACATTAAGGTGTACTAAAGCAGGTTTAGTGAATGTCTTCCTATGAAGTGTTTCATAGCTTCTCTTTCAATAGGTAACCATTTGCCATTTCTTCACACAAGAATTGTTTTACTCAATTTAAAATTTCTCAGTAGAGGCGGGGAGTTAGAGAGATGGCTCAGTTGTTAGGATCATTTTCTGCTGTTCCAGTGGGCACTTTTTGGTTCCCAGCAGCTACATCAGGAGTCTGAGAAACACCGGTAGCTCTCTGGCTCCCCTGGGCACCCACACACAGCACAAACCCTCCATACTCATAAACTTCTTTTTCTTTCTAGCAGGGCATGGGTAACACATGCATGCCTGTAATCTCAGCACTCAGCATGTGGAGGCAGGAGGACCAAGAACAGAAGGCCAGTCTTGGCTATAAGAGACCCTGCCTTGGGGCTGGAGAGATGGCTCAGTGGTTAAGGGCTCTGACTTTTTTCCCAAAGGTCCTGAGTTTAATTCCCAGCAACCACCTAGTGGCTCACTACCATCTATAATGAGATCTGGTGCCCTCTTCTGTTGTATAGGTACGCATGCAGGTAGAACACTGTACCTAATAAATACATAGTTCTTTTTTTGTTTGTTTGTTTGTTTTTTTTTCGAGACAGGGTTTCTCTGTGGCTTTGGAGCCTGTCCTGGAACTAGCTCTGTAGACCAGGCTGGTCTCGAACTCCCGAGTACTGGGATTAAAGGCGTGTGCCACCATCGCCCGGCTTAAATACGTAATTCTGAGAGAGAGAGAGAGAGAGAGAGAGAGAGAGAGAGAGAGAGAGACCCTGTCTCAAAAACAAAACCAGTGTCTATCTATGCTCTGGGTACGAGCTGGTGGTAAGGCACTTCTCTCAAACTATTTTATTGTCTTTTTGAGATAAGGTCTTGCTAGATAGTCCGTGCTGACCACTTGTCGTGACCTTCCTGAAAGCGTTAGAGGTTGTGTACAAAGGGAGTATGAAGGGTACTCTTGGCGGGAGCCAGGTAGTACCACAACGTTACTGGAACTGTAGCAGTTTACAGCTCTATTCCAGGAAAGTTTTCCCCAATGCAAGGGTAACAACTAGACTAAGTCTCCCAATGCACCACCAGGCTTTGTATTTTTGCACACTTTGCCTTTTCTCTAGAACTCCTTAATAGTCCATAAAAGATTCTGTTAAGTGG